CCCTCACTGCTCTTGCCTTCTTCAAACCCCTGGTCATCGTCTTCCTTCTCCATGACCCCCAGGATGTCCCCCAGCATTGAGGGCCCAAGGTCAACATGGAATGACATCACAGATTCAGCTTTCTTCAATCCTCCACCGTTGTAAGATGGGGAAGGTCGCAGGCCGGTCAACACCCCGAAATGCTTCTCATGTAGCTCCAAGTCCAATGCTTCAGCAGAGGCCCCATTGGAGGGGCTGGAGGTCAAGCTCTTGAGCACCCTCTTGTCTCCCTCTGGTTCTTCTTCATTGTTCAGAAAGGGCAAGGACATGGCATTCTTCACAAAGGTAGGTGACCCACTGGAAGGAAGGAGGGTATTGTCTTGCTGGTCTACTCTCGTGACGGACTGAGAGCGCTTGCTGCCCCGGAAGGTACGAGACAGCAGTCCCGGTTTCGGAGAGTGAGGATAGGTGTGTCCTTCTTGGGATGGCTCTCCAGATCGAGTGCTGAGGAAAGAGGTGTCTCCGAAAGCTTCCCCGCTGCGCCCTACATGCATGGTGTGCCGGAAGTCACCCAAGGGAGCGCTGATCATCTCGGTAGTGAGGTCCATACGAGATCGCCGTTTGGTCTGAGACCCCGACATCAGCTGCTTTAAGATGGGCATCTTGGTTTGCACAACTCACAAACCCAGTTGCGTTTGACTGGTGCTGTTGTGGTTTCAAGAATAAGGGGTTTTCTTCTAACGAGTCCTAAAAGGTTCCTGATTCAACCAGATTTTGCTCAGATTCAGCCCGACTCTGTCCAGTCTTGATGGCCGTCACTTCAGTTGCCAAACAGGAGATAATCTGTAATTGGGAACAAACAAGATCAAAATCAAATTTTATAGTTAACTGGAGATGATATCTTGACTCTAAGCAAAACCACAGTGCAAAGCCAAGAAGTTAAGTTAATTATAGTGCTGTGTTGTTTGACTTTCTGGGTGCCAGATCAATACAGACAGAAGATATTGGCAGTCCAGACAGAACACAGGCAGTTCCAGGATGTCTTATCAATGCGTCTGGCCAGAAAACCAGCAGAAGCTGCAGCGTCATTCTTTTCCCCGAGCTAAACTGCAGTAGTGTTTTTGGCATTCAGATGAGGTAAGGGTCAGGATTCTTGTGGTCAGGCAGCTGGAGTTTCAATCATTAATAAGATAAGCAGATACTGATGAAAGAACTTAGTGGAAATTTTAACTACTTAGTGAAATACTTATATCCTTACAGGATGAATTTTATGAAACCTGCCACAAACTATATTTTACCCCAAAATGAAAAAGGAAATTATATATTTATACAATGTTATTAGGATCATTAACATTTTTATTTTTTAATGACTTTTGTGAAATAGACAATTCTCAAACATGTTAATGGTCCTATGTACAATACGAAGAATACACAAGTACATCGTCACAGATTGTGACCAGCTGCCAATGATACTTAGTCTGCAATATCATCTCATCAAACACCATTCCTCTGCATTGGAGATAAGACTGTCTAGTTAATGACAGCTACTTCCTCTGTAATCATCCATGACTGTATAAATGGCAGAGACAGAGGAACACGGTAAGCCAAGACCCTATTGATGGCTCGGGGTATCATTTCACACTACTCTAAACTTAACCTCTACTCTCTGAACTAAGTAGATCATCAGGGACAACCACAATTAACATCAAATTAAGCATGAACACATTTACACAAAGTCAAACAAGTGCAAACCTCAGACTCAAAACACCACTACAAGGTTTGACGCTCTTAAACAAACCTCACTTTGAAAAAATAAAATGCTTACCATCACCGTAGTGTCTTGTGGCATTATTCCCAGGTTTGTAAATTAACACCAAGTGTGAGAGATGGGCCAAATGCTTGGCAGGCAACAAGTTTTTCCTGTCACCGATCTGCTGTAATATTCATGAAGTCTTTGCTTTGAAAAAGAACAACAGCTAGAGTGAATTTCACCGAGGTGCCCAACCAACTCATGACCTCTTTCTGGCTTAATCTTCCTCTACCAGCTTCGTCTGCACTTCCTCATAATGTCCTTACCTGCCTCTATAGCAACACCCCTTTGCACACAAACAGATGTTAGCGTTTCCTGTCAGCATGAATGCATTTTCCTCCTTTGAGCATTAACCAAGTTGTTTCTCTCAAACTGTACTGTTCACTGATCAAAATATATATGCATGGTCAATGACTAAATTAAAAACCTAAATTATCCAAATTGATTTTATCAATTATGCACAACTTCAGTGACTAGAATAGTATTATCACTCTCTTTGGCATTAAAGATTAATTATACAGTGCAAATTACATACCATGTCTCAGAACCACTGAATATCAGAAATCACAGGTTAAATAAAAGATAATGACCATCTTCTATTGTGTCTTCTGTTAGAGACTGACTGAACACATGCAGCCAGCACCCTCCCTGAATGCTAGAGAGAGCACGGATAAGGCTTAGCCAATGAGAGATGAAGTCCTGCGGCTCTCCACTGCACACACCCATTTCCATGACATAATTTCACAGATGCTCTGAGCAGGGGACGACGAGCCCACCTGAAAACAAAGCAAGCCTTTGCACAGCCTCCAAAATTATGCCCAGGAAAGCACAATATATTGGTGACAAATGTCAATATTAGTACCATTTCTGCTGGACATTAATCAAGTTTTGATGCCTTACTATTACATTTAGCCATTTAACACTTTTATTCAAAGTGATATATGAAGCATTTCATCATTCAAAAGCCAGTAATATATCTGCTGTTGCCAGGTTTGTAAACTAATACAGAAGCTATAAATACAATTAAAAGAGAGAACAAACAAATATTTAAATCTAACTCATGTAAATTATAAAATGTCTAATGTAAACAATGTAGAAAAACAAAAAAAACAGTATAGACTTATCATACACTACTGTTCAAAAGTTTGGGGTCAGTAAAATATTTTGATGTCTTGTGCAAAATCTCTCATGCAAGGCTGCATTTACTTGATCAAAAATACAGTAAATATAACTGTTTTCTAGTTGAATATATTTTAATATATAATTATTCCTGTGCTGACAAAGCTGAATTTTCAGCATCATTAATCCAGTCTTCAGTGTCACATAATCCTTCAGAAATCATTCTAATATACTGATTTGATGCTCAAGACACATTTATTATTATTATTATTACAGTTAATAGTTAAATATAACAGTTAATATTAAAACTTAATATTTTTTGTGGAAATGTGATCGATTTTTTCAGGATTTTTTGATGAATAGAAATAGAAAACAGCATTCATTTGAAATAGGATTTTTTAAAAAAAGAGTCACTCTATAGTCATTACATTACAGCATTTACAGTCACTTTTGAACAATTTAATGCATCATTCATTTCTGATGCAATTATTATTATTTAAAAAAAAAAAAGCCCCCAGTAAAGTATTAACTATCCTCTATGTTATTTTTTTTTTTGTATATATCGCTCATAACCAACTACCTAAATAAACATGTATCTACTAGTCCAAACTCATAAGCACAGGTAAAGGGTGCAAGTCATAATAGGTTACCACTTACCACTTGTGCGTTAGTTCAGACCACTGCCGATGCAACTGGTTAGCTTCTGCTTAAAGTTGTTGTTTTATAAAGTCAGCTATGTTTTCCCCCACCACAACCAAGAAAAATGAAACGCTTTAAATATTATTTAAATGATCATTTCCCAAAAGGAGCAGAGGCTGTTTTTGTCCACTACCACTAATTTGAAAATCATCTAAATAAAATTTTATAAATAGAAATATGGAAGTCTAATAAGACTAATCAAATTGATTCGCATAAAAAGGGCACAAACAGAAGTCCAAAAAGGGGACAGCGAGTAATCAATATGCAAAATTATTCAGTTAGTGACCAATTACAATGCAGAACAACAGTTCACAGCATTCTGGACAAAGACAGCAGTGTTTATATGAGGTGCTGCTACTGGGTGGCATGAGCTGGAAGAAAAACAAGCAGTAGATGAAAAATGTAAAGCCCCAAATCCACCTAGACACACAGTTCCGCTGCATTTCTGTCCTGTCCCACATACACCAAGGCCCCAAACATGCACAAATATGTGAACACACACACACACACACACATCTAACTAAGCTAAGCAAGCTTGATTTTGTGTGTTATTACATTAAATGTATTGAATTACTGAAATGTAACACATTCATTGTCCAAGTATTCACATAGTCGTAATTTGTGTACTTGAGTAAAGTATGTTTCTGGCACAACACTTCTATACATGTTCTGTTAGCACATTTTGGGGGAAAGGCTAACAACCTTTGGCTAATAGCGGTCCATGTGCATCCCTGGACCAGTTTATCAAACACTTCTGGTCGGGAGGCGCTTTATTTATAGACGTGCAAATATGAAGTAAGAACGGGGAGCATGGGAAGGCAGCATGGGAAACAACAGGCCTCTGAAGGGGTGAGTGACTTTCCAAATACCCTTACAATCTGTCTGTGATAGTAACGCAGTTCATAGGGAGCAGTTGGACTTCCTCTGTACAGACTAAACACACCTCCCTCTCTCCCACTATACGCTCCTCCTTTTCTACATCCCTGCGACCCTATACATACTAACCTCTGACCCCTGTGTGAGTTTAGAAGGTTTAGCAAATCTCATAGAAAAACATAGGCCTACATCAGACTCACACACACACACAGGGTGGCTTCGGTTTCAACAAGCATCTCCGAGCGAGCCACAAATCCTGATTTTGAAAGTCATAATCCAGAGATTGTTTGAATACTGCATCTAAAATGTTTTTCATCCACATAAAAAAACTTAAATAATATAATATAATGTAATATAATAATCTGTTTGTCCTATGCAGGGTTGTAGGTATAATAAAAAATATATATAATATTTTTGTCCAACGTAGGGTCGTGGATATACAGATAATATATTTTTATGTACGGCGGTGCAACCGTGTGCGTGATAAAAAAGTGACACAGTAGAGCACAAACACAATCAAACAATTTGGGGGTCAGGTCGCCTTTAGTGGTGCAGAAATTACACACTTCACCTTGAAACGTGAAGTACGAGTGCCTTTAGTGGTGCAGAAATTACACACTTCACCTTGAAACGTGAAGTACGAGTAAGTATGGGTCTTATTTAATGACAGCATTAAGACAGTGAAACATGCTGTTTAAGGCTGAAGCACACTGGCGTGTCACATGCACTTCAAGTCGTCTTTGGTCTTTGCAGTAGACAAACAGAAAGCTCACTCTTTGTGAACAAGCATCTCTGTGTG